AGAGGGAGCTGAGGGGGTCCTGAGGGGGAGCTGAGGGGTCCTGAGGGGAGCTGAGGGGGAGCTGAGGGGGTCTTTAGGGGGTCCTGAGGGGGTCCTGAGAGGGAGCTGAGGGGGTCCTGAGGGGGAGCTGAGGGGTCCTGAGGGGAGCTGAGGGGGAGCTGAGGGGGTCTTTAGGGGGTCCTGAGGGGGTCCTGAGAGGGAGCTGAGGGGGTCCTGAGGGGGAGCTGAGGGGTCCTGAGGGGAGCTGAGGGGGAGCTGAGGGGGTCTTTAGGGGGTCCTGAGGGGGTCCTGAGAGGGAGCTGAGGGGGTCCTGAGGGGGAGCTGAGGGGTCCTGAGGGAGCCAGGGGCCTGGGGTTGTGGGTACACAATGGCCTTCCCTCCCCTGGTGCCCCCTTTCCCAGGAGCCCTGTGGACTCAGCCTCCTGCAGTGAAGGCCAGGCCTCTGTCCCAAGACAGAGACAGCCTCCATCCTCTGGGGCCTCTGCCCTTGGTGCCCAGGCCTCTGGCACGGCACAGAGTTCTATTCATCGGAGGTGTGCTGTCCCCGCCCTCGGAGACCGCAGCTTGTAGCAGGAAGGCCCCACTGAGGGCAGGTGCGGGCAGGCCTGACCCCTGACTCTGGCCCTCACCAGAGCTCACTCACCCCTGGACAGCTCCTGTGGCTGGCTCCTGTGGCCTCCCAGGCGTGGCCTCGCCTGGCTGCTGCCTGGCCGAGCTCTCCCTGCAGTGACGCAGGCTCCTGCCCCCTCCCTCTCCCTGCCTCTGGCTGCTCACCACCCCCAGCCTCCTTCCCCTTTCGAGGCTGAGGCTTTCTCTGACTGGAAGGCTGGCCGCTGGCCCCCAGCCAGCCCCATCCTGGGAAGGACGCCTCCCACGGCCCTGCAACTGCCAGCCACCCACCCTGGCCACAAGGTCCTTTCCCAGGAGAGAACACCCACCCCGGGAGCCCCTCTCCGGGGCCATTCCCCTGCTCCAGAGCCTGAAGGGCCCCGCGGCCTGCTGGGCAGAAGCTCGAAGGCCAGCTCTGTCTGGCGGGGAGAGAGTGGCCGCCACTTTGCCCGGCTTCAGACAAACCGTGACCACCCAGCAGCTGAAGTCTGGGCAGCAGAAGCCCCAGCGAATCCGTGAGGGACTGGCTGCTCCTTACCAGGACAGTGGCCTCTGCCCTCGCTGGCTCCAGGCCGGCTGCCTGGGGTGGCCTGGGGTGGCGCGTCTGTCCCGTGCCAGGACTCTCAGGCAGGTGGTCCTCAACCCTTGGAAACGGTGCAGGGTTCTGGCCGTCCCTCCCTGCCCGGAGCCACCAGCCCGGACACAGCCTCTGAGGCTGGGCAAGATGGGGTTGATTGACAGTCGTGGGAACCGACGGTTCGCAGGAGAGGGTGTGGAGGGGCGGGGTGGGAAGACAGGCTCTCGCGGTCACAGGGTCCCTGTCACCAGGGTCCTGGCCTCTGTCCCTTGGATGGGCCCTCAGAGAGAAGCCTCCTCTGGCACTGCTCAAGGACATCGGAGGCCCTGCAAGCCCCTGCCCTACGCCCTGAGTCTAGCAGACAGTGGGGGGACGGGGCTGGCACCCCAGTGCCCGGGGTGGGGAGGGCGTCCTCCTGCCACAGGCTTCCCGGGCCATGCCCAGGGCACCCAGCCAGGCGCATGCATGGAGACTGCGGCGGTGGGAGAGCCAGCGGCTGTGGGTGAGGCAGACGGCGTCCCAGGTCGGAGACGGCAAGTGGGCGGCCGGGAGGGAAGGAGGCGTGCAGCCCGGGCCTGGGTTTGTGGGTCTGGCTTCGCAATCGTGTAAATATTTGTGCGATCACCAAATCCAACTAAGTCTGAAGAGGAACTGTTAGCATCCAAAGCATATGGAAGCCAAGGACCTGCACGTGGGGTGGCGAGGTAGCCCCGGCCTCCCGCAGACCAGTCCTCTGGCCACGCGCGGCCCGGCCCCCTGCAGACCACACGATCCCTGTCCAGCTGTCAACGATGGTTTTCCGGGGAAGTCTAAGGCACTGTTTTGTCCCTATAGCGACGAAACCCAATGTCCCTGAAAATACGCTGGCCACCCTGAAGCCCTTCTCAGTGAGCCTGCTGGGGACAGCAGAGCAGATTCCGGGCTGTGTGGGTGGGCAGAGCACTTGGCACGGCTGTGGGCGTGGCCTATGGGCTGAGGTGGCACAGAGGTGCTGCTGGTCCGGTCAAGAAGGAACCGTGGTTCACAAAGCGTCTTATCTTCAGAGAGCGGCTCGGTTGTGTCCACTAACGAGGCCCACCATGTGATGGTCCGTCCTGCATTGCTGTGACAGAATTCCTGGGAAAACTCCTTACAGGAGGAGAGCGCTTGCTTGTCTCCTGTTTCAGAGGTCCTGGCCATGGCTGCCCACTCCCGCGAGGCTTTGGGTCTGAGGGGAGCGTAGGTCGTGGAGGGGAGGGCGGGGGGCTCTGCTCAGCTCATGGCAGCCAGGAAGCAGTGGGTGGAGGAAGGCACGGGGACAGGACGCAGCCGCAAGGTCATGCCCCCAATAACCCACTTCCTCTAACCAGGTTCCACCCCACAGTGTCCACCTCCCAACCATGCCATCCAACTGTGACTCCATCAGTGGGCAGGTCAGGACCTTGAGGTCAGGCGCTTCCCAGGAACTGCCTCTCACACGGCTGCGCCTGGACCAAGCCTTGGATCTGGGGTGGTCCAGGTGCAACAGAAGGCACAGTGACTCACACAGTCAAGAGGCTGCCCTGGTGTCCAGGCCACGTCTACCTGCTGGCTGTCCTGGAGAGGGAGAGGGCTCCTCAGAGAGGAGGAGCTGTGAGGTGGGGCAGGGGGAGTGGAAAGGGGCCTGGAACGCCTCTTCCTCTGAGGAACAGAATGGCCATCCAGACCGTGAGGGCCACACCACAGGGACTCAGCGTCCACTCGAGTAACTGTCACTGGAAAGGGGGCGACATGGATATTGGCAGGGATACTTAAGGCACTGGAAAGCAAAGATGTCTGGATTCACGGATCCGTGGAAGACGCTCGCTAGGGAAGCTGCTCATGGTCAGAAGCTTGTAAACAAAGGAAAGGACCCGGACCTCATCCAGCTTTCCTGTATAAACTATCCCCTGGTGTGACCACACAGTCTGAACCTCTTTCCCATGAGCTTCAGCGGTCAGTGGGAGAAGGAAGAGAGAATGAGGGTGTGCTGTCCTGTCCACCGCGTGGAACGGTCATCGGCTTCATCAGCTGTGCATTGTCTGTTACTGTTGCTCACAAAGATCACCCCGAAACAAGCAGGGGTCAGCTCCCAGTCTCTGTGGGCCAGGGGCCTGGGCTCCCACCTCTGCCCCAGCTGTTGGCCAAGGCTCAGCTAGGAGGACCTGTTCCAGATCACCCCGGCTCTGCCCCTGATGGGCAGCTGGACAGAGGACCTCCAGTCTCCCTGGCTCTTGTCCAGAGGCTGCTCTTAGCTCCCTGCCACTTGGTCCCTCAGAGGTCAGCTCTGTGGTCACTCACTCCCTCAGTGAGTGACAGATGCCACTCTCCCCAATTCAACCTCAGAAGTACCAAGTGGCCTTTATTTTCTCACCATGTATTCTATTTATAAGTGGTCTGGTAAGTCCATCCCCTCAAAGTGGGCAGGGGGCTGGGGATGTGGCTCAGTGGTTGAATGCCCCTGAGTTCAATCCCTGGTACAAAAAAAAAACAACAAACAAACAAACAAACAAAAAAACAAAAAACAGGGGCAGGGATCATTGCAGGTCCTCTTAGAGGCCGTCAGTCATGGTCATCCAGTGGCTCCTGGTGGAAGGGCATGCCACTTATGCCATGGTCTTGCCAAGAAGCAAGTAATCCCAGTGGCTCGGGAGGCTGAGGCAGGAGGATCATGAGTTCAAAGCCAGCCTCAGCAACTCAATGAGACCCTGTCTCTAAATAAAATATTAAAAAGGATTGGGGACGTGGCTCAGTGGTTAAGTGTCTCTGGTTCAATCCCCAGTTTAAAAACAAAAATGGAGAGAGAAACCGAAGTCACACCCGAATCTGACAGGAGAGTGAAGGGAGATTGACAGGCCCCAGGCACAGCCTACGTGAGAAGAAAGAGGTGCTGTCACCGCAGTGTCCTGGTTTTCCTTGAGATGACAACAGGCCAGAGCAGATGGTCTCACCATGAGGAGGCGGGCAGTCACCTGCCTGCAGTGGGGAGGCAGCTGCCCAGGGGGCTGGCAAGCACTTGGCAGACCCAGTGCTTGGGCTGAAATCGCAGGTAGGGTTCTGACCCGGCTCAGACTCCTCTGGTTCCAGTTCAATCAAGGAAATTGCTTTTTGAAATGAAGACAGGAGTTAGGCCCCATCTCTTACCCCGCAGCCCGTGGCCAGTGGCTGTGCTGCTTTTCAGGAAACCAGCCAGACAGTGGGGACCTCAAGAGTGCGTGCCTGCCGACGGCTCTGGCGAGGGTGTGGGAGTCGTCTGGGGACCTGCATTTGTCAAAGTCCTTATCTTGGCTTCACGCTGGGGTTTTTGTAGATAGAACAATATGATGTCTGGCATTTGTTTCAAAGTGTTCTGGGCCACAGATAGAGAGTGGGGAAGGAGTGGTCTGATCCTTGCCAACGACAGGGGGCAGGCATGTGGGCTCCGCCTGCCTCTGTGTCTGTGCACGCTGGAAATTTCCACAATAAAACATGAAATAACACAGACGGCCACACCCTGTGCTGCAGATCCACAAGTGGCTGGGCAGTGGTGGGACTTGTGCGTGGCTGCAGCAGTGCAGAATGGGGCTTCTCCAGGGTCTTGGTGAGCTCAAAGGTAGGGGAAGCAGCTGGAGAAGGGAACCGGGGGCCAAGGGAGCCAGGAGACTCCAGCAAACAGGGTGGCCCCTTGCTGCCAGAGGAGGGCAGGTGCAGGCCAGCTGTGGCTGCTCGGGCCTGACTGGTCTGGGATGGCGGGGGTCATATGGCTTCCCCATACATGCACACGCACAAAGGCACACACGTGTATGGCACACAAGCACAATTTACAGGTGTGCATATCCACGCACATACACATAAAAACAGATGTGCATGTGCACATGCAGACACACACACTGTGGGTTACACATAGACACACACATCCACACACGTGCATACACACAGATACACTAGACAGTGAACGTGTGCAAACATACATGCATGCACACACAGAAGCACACACTTGCTGAGCTAGCCCGGGGAAGGGCCCTGCTGGCAGAGGTAGGACTGCTGGCTCATGTGAGCTGGAGCCAAGAGGGCAGAGCCACCACCCTGACTGCTCCTACTGGGGCCAAGCCCAGGGACCTTGCCTGCTGAGGAGCTGATCAATACCTGGGCCATGCAGCTGTTCCAGAGACCTCGGTGGCCTCCACCAGCTCATCAGGGTTCCTGCTTCTGCACCCCCAGCCCCAACCCCATGCTCTACAGGTCAGGAAATCATGGCCAGGAGGGCCAGCACCAGGCTTCAGTCCCCAGGGAGGTCTGTCAAGCACTGAACTGGAATGACCAGCTCAGGTCCCGAGACTGGGGCAGAAGCAGCAAGCACCACGAGACTGACGGGCGGTAGAGCCGTGGACGGTGCAGGAAGACATGGCCTGATGGGAACTGGGGTGGAGTGAAGGGGCAGGGCCGGAGCTCAGCAGGGCCTGGGAGGTTAAAGTCGGGGTGGGGGCTGGGGTCAGAGTTCAAGAAACAGGGTTGTCTCTAACTGGAGCTTGCTCAGTCTGACA